GGTGCTCCAAGACCCCACGATCAAATACAGGTCCGCACTGAAATACTTGTCGGGAGGATACTTTATAAAACAAGGTAAATTTTTTTTTTTATTTTTTTTTTATTTTTACACACATATTTTGGTTTATCTTCCTTCTACAATCATTATCTGAAAATTAATGACTCAACTTCAAAGTCACCCTGTATAATTTGTATTACAATGTTATTGCGTAAACTTGGTTATTAAAAAAACAGTATTTCAGGTACATTTTCTCTTAACGATGGAAGAATGCCTGCTGACTTCACGGCCAGCGTGTCGGTGTTCCTGTCAGTTTCAGGTATTGGCGATTTGCGATTCGACGCTGCCAGATGGACGGTACTACGGGTAGGGTAGAAAAACGATTAAAAAATTCTTATCAGAAATTGAAACATTTGTGATTTAATCGGAGAAACATGTGATAAACTGTCATTTACAAAGCCAACTATGTAAATTTGTTTTTTTTGAAATAACTAAGGTCTGGCAATGACAAGTATGACATATTATACATCTTTGGGATCAGGATGAACTTGCTTAAAACTCAAACATGGCGTCTATGAGAAAAATAATATTGATGGTTGAGGACAAGAGACGAAACGACATATAGACATTTTAATTATACCTCCTTGAAGAGCAAAAAATGTGGCAAGGTTGATGTAATCTTTATTTTGAAATCCCTTGTCAGATAAAGCCAGGAAGAAATAAAAACGATCCTTGGAAAATTCGATTTCTTTCGTCTATCTCCTAGAATACTCGAAATTGTAAAACTTTGTAAGTGCCACCTAAATGCGCAACTGTGCCTTACTTAACCGATGTCGTATCTCTTATGGTTTCGGAGAACCCAATGGTGAGAGTCGAATTTGAAACACTAGTTACATGTACGTATGTGTATCTCTGCCTATTGTGATCTGTGTTGCGACCTGTTAACAAAGAATTGAATACATTGACTGTCGAAGGAAACTCTTTCTCCTTTGTACTTTGATCAGTGAATGGGAATCTGTAGTTAAACCCTCCCATTGAAGCAACTAATGTTGAGTATGTAGTGTGGACGTGCATTCATTAAACATTGAGTTGAAGGACGGAAACGATTATGTGATACATAATAAGTTCAAAGAACACTTTTTATTTCATGTAAGTTTTATCATCACATACATTTTAACATTGTAAAAGAAAAATACATATTCCCATGTTCTTTAGCGTTTCCAATCTTTATAGCACAGAAAGACATCAAAACCGTACACTAGTCCATCAACGATAGAAATTACTATGCTTATGATTACTCTAGTGTACCTGTGGTCGACAAGAAGAATGACGATTCCAAAGACAATGAGCAGGATAGCGCATGCCAGATTAGTCTCAAATAATAATAATGATCAATCGTCTTTCAATCCAAACCTCGGAACTCGGTTCCATTGAGTCAGTTTCCGAGAAAGCATTTCGATTGCATTGTTAAAAGCTTCAATAAAAAAGTTTACGTATTAAAATTGGACGCTCTCTATTACAACAATTTTTAACAACTAATAGAAGCTTAAAAAGTTAAAAACAGGGTGAATAGAGAACATTAGCCATTCTTCTAGGGCATAAAGTAGAACAAAGCTCGTATAGACATGGGACCAAAATGATAAATTAAGATAAAGTTCCCAAATCAAATTGAACTCAAATGTTTGTACATGTAGAGCTGGCAGCGTAGCCAATAAATTGTTACTGAGACTGGCGTAGAAATTGGGAAATTTTGACCATTACAGAAGGATTTAAAACATACTTTCTACGCTACTGACTTTTTTTAAGAAACACATTCTTTAATAAGTAATTCATTTTTACATCACCTCTCTTGATATTTTTTTCTGACTTTCTAATGAATCATTGGCTCGAATATTTCAGGTAAAATCTATATACCTGTAAAAAGCTTTCCACGCGTTCTACTCCTGAAATATGCAAAAATTAAAGAAATCTGGAACTGAAACTAATCTGTAGTATCCACTGTAGATCCACAGCGTTTCATCTAAATCGCTTAAGTAAGTTATGTGGATTTAAAAATATCCGTATTAGAAGAAATGAACTTGAACACCCTATATTTCAGTAACAAAGCCGTAAAATACAAAACTTGTTTGATTGTGATGAGATCCATCAGACGGTATTTTATAAACCAGAATAACCATACACATAAAACACAAATTTAATAAAGAAGAATCAATCACCCCGCTCCAGGGTGATTTCAATAGCCATAATACGCTTTGGTTGGGCTCAAACAAGACCGTTGCAGCAGGTCGCGCAGTTGACGCGTTCGCTACAACTGCGGGCCTATAGCTCTGCTTTCTGTTGTAAGGTGATGGAGAGGTGCATAAGTCGCGAGCTTTTGGGCTACCTCGAACGTCACGACTAGCGACAGGCAGTAGGGCTTTCGGCACAAGCGATCCACAGGGAATCTCCTAGCTTACGTCACGCAATTGTGGAGTAAACTCATCCAGTCTTATGGTGAGGCTCACGTCGTTGTCTTGATATCACGAAAGCGTTCCTATGGCCTTCCAAATAAGCTTTGCAGATGAGTGGCTGACTTTCTCTCTCCCGCAAGATATCCGTCGTTATTGACAGATTCTCCTCCTCATCCCATAACGTCAATGCGGGTGTTCCCCACAGATCGGTCTGGGCTACGACAATGTTCCTCATACATATCCACGAGTTCCTTTCCCGTATGATCAACACAATCTACCGTGTCGAACTTCGTACATGCATAACTGCCCAATACGACCGCTCCTTTGTCCCGAGAGGTCGAGATTATGGAACAGTCTACAATAAGAAGCTTTTCCCAGTTCTACTAACCTTAGGTAGTTCAAAAATCGGATTAACAAAATTTCTTTGGGTCCATCACAGCAGCCTCGGTGTTCCGGCATTTAGGCTTCTGCCTGCGCGGTTGCTTCAGGAAAAAAAAAGTGTAAGAGTGATTACGGTAGATTTCGATGAACTTTCTACGTATAATGTTGCCCGGTGTCCTGAAAAAATCCTCCAAAAACTGGTCCCAAGATATAGGTCGTGCAAGTCAGTATATAGTTGTATTCAGCCATCTGCTCTTAGAAGAGTGGTTTCTAAACAAAGCCTCTGCTTTACGAGGAACAGCAGTTTCGGTATTTTTCGCTGAATTTTTTATGTGTGATGTATTTTGGTGACCTAAACACATGCTCTAAGTGGCACAGCATCCAAAACTCAAATGGCCGGGCAAAAATATTGTAACTTATTTAAAAAACATTGCCTGTGCTTTGAATTTGCGCTATACTGAATGCATCAAGACTCGGTTACTGCTAAGTCAAGGACAAAAAACCTTTGTAGGATTTGAAAACCGGTCCAATGGCGGCGCAAATAGGGGCAGAAAACTAGAAAAATGAGTCGTTCAAACTTAGTTTTTTGTCATTTCGGAGACTCCTGATCATTTTCATAAAAAAATGTATATATCTTTGTTTGTGGATGTTAGTATATTATTGTGCTTTTAACACTGGTAATTTTGCTAAGCACTTATTAGACATATTTCATACATCATACATTTGTCCGTAAAACATGGACAATAGAGATATATTTCCAATCTACGCGTCCCAGGCAACTCGCTGCTTCAAATGCTGAGCGGTAACTGTGCAACGATAGGTGTATGGGGGTGTACGCCATGTCGAGCTTTGTTGGCAGTTGCTAAGGCAGGCAAGATTGCCACGTTGCTAGATAGTCGGTACTGTCTGTAAGGTGGTAGGTTAAATCGCAATGTTCTCCAAACTGAGGGAACTATGGTCTAATTGTATGGGCTTGCTTGACCGGCTTGATCCATTCAGTACTTTTGTTTTATATGACAAACTTTTTTCTAATTGGGGGCCAATTTAATTTAGTAATAATGGCATTGCTTGGGAAGTGCAGTGCAGCCTGTATTAAGTATTCTGAATTATTTTCAGAACGTGAATGAAAATTACGGTCATATGGTACACAGTTGATTTAGGTGTGTGCAACATCAAGTGACAGTTGCGCTGAGTGCTGTTCCCCTGGGAAGTGGTAGAGTTAAAAATCGTAAAATGAACTGTACTTCATTTGGCTCAGTATAAATATAGAAGTTTCTAAGCATTTTACATCAGTTGAGGAACGCTGGCCCGGTTCATGCTGAGGCATTTATGAGCGAATCGTGAAGCCATCTTTGACAGACGCCGAGTCATTCATAAATAGACCGCATAACCAAGTGAGGTTCGCTCATAGATCTTTGCGTTTTGTTGAAAACTAGTAATGCACTAAGAACTCACAGTCACTAAAGCCGATCGGCGGGTATGTGGTATGTGTGCCAAGTACCTCAACTAATGTCTATTGTTCTTTAATTTGAGCTCTATCTTTGATCTCCAGCTCAGCCATTTCGGAATCGTAGTGTCGCTAGCCGTAGTGACGGTTTCGTTCGCGATTCTAGGTATGAGTGTGGTCACCGGAGAAGCAATTATTGATGCAGTAGTTCAACACCAATAGGTGACCCTACTCCTGATAGCTGCTCTTTTGTTACCAACCAGCGTCTTCACAGCATTCTCAACAGGATAATGAGTATGTATATGTGTTTGATGGTATTGTGTGTTTTGAAAGTAAGAAACAGCTTATAGCAATTGGAGCTCAAAGAACAGTTTGTTTTTTACTACGAACCACACTAAAGTTTACTTTTGTTTAAGTCGTGCCTTGATGTTCACGTCTTACCAAAATGATCTCCTCATAGATACGTCCTGCCTCCTAATTGCTAGTCATTCTGGGGCTACTCAGCATTTCATTTGTGTTAAAGCATTGCACCCTTTTGAATAAAGTGTAGCCTTCTCTGAATCACTTCTATGTACATAAACGGTAACACTATTAAAGTTGAACAGTCTGTACGTTATATATGGCGATAACGTGTTCGATAATGCTCGCCCAGAACCTCACCCCGACTTTACCAACGCATCTTTAGTTTCCAGCACAATGTTTCACTTACTTATGTTACTTGTATGGCTACAGTTATCCATGTAATACGTATATTTTTATGAACTGTTGATCAATAAATAATTAAATTTTACTGTTACACATCTATCTGCTCCAATTAAAACACAGGTACGCATCTGCAGCATAAATAATTGAAGCAACGCAGCTGCATATTCCTGCAAGTTGTAGCTTGTGGGAAAGGTGATGGTCTGAATAGATAACTGTGGCAACTCCCGATGGTAGACACATCGCAGATACGAAAACCAATATAGGCCACTGCGTCTTGTTAGTTTTGCTACCTCGGATTGCACCTCGTGTCATCACTGGAACAAAGACAAACCGAGGTGGGTGTAAGTGGTATCGATGACTTTATACCAGAAAAAAGTTTTGTATAAAAATTATAAGCTCTAATATGAAGTTTTTTTGTGTACAGTCTCAGAAATGTCAACCTGTATATTTGGAAAAATAATTTGGCCAAAAGCTTGAAGTTTACTTATGTATCAGAGTTCGGACCAGTTTGCATCTAGCTGCCTATGCAATCTGGTATAGGCCTGACATACATAATATGATTAAATGACACACGTACTCCAAGCTTCTGACTAAAGTAATAAAAATAAACAAATCACATATTTTATCAGACTTAAAGGGATCGTTTTCACTGATAATATATAGGGTGTTCCATTAAAAAAATACAGATTTATTTGGTATCATTTTTCTAAGATACGCAGTATACCAAAAAAATATTACATAAAAAACTTTATATTAGACCCTATAACTTTCAAACATTTTTTTTCTTTCCGAAGGTCATATAAAGAAGCTAGAGGGGGTCAGTTTACAGCCAGACATCCTGTACCCAGCTTGGAGCGCCATCCAAAGCAAGCGCTCTGACTAACCGCATTAAAAATGCATAGTGGCATCACTGTTCGAAATGTCAAGAGCATTATTGTAACGGTAGTTTCCAAAAACAGAAATTTCAGTGTTTTGTAGCACATATAAGTGTTTCACTACTCTCTCAACTAATTTTTTGTAGGACCATGTCTGACAACGCCATCTAAAGAAAGTGATATTTCCAAAAAGCGTGATATGACAAAAGCTTCTTAACAAACAAAATTGAATGGATTTTATTAAATTCTGCGAAAAGTGCAGTGGCGAGAAAATATTTCCAACTAGCGTCCAGGTACCCCAGCTTCTACGTCCCTGGTTGAGTTGGGGCCAGTAAACCTTGTGTGTTTGCTGACGAATTAGCAAATAACTCTTCATCACCCTGTATCTCGGTAGAGGAACATCTTTAGACCAATGGTTGTATGGACTTTTTTCGTTATTTTTGGATATGCCTTCTACCCTAGAGATATTGGCATGTCTATCTGAAAGACCCCGTATATACGTATTTTAGGGTAATGGTAACTAGAGATGGCGGCGAGGCGCCACTTTCAACCATTTTTTCAAACGAAATGTGGGGAATCATGTTATCGCTCATTTCGAAGCTTTTTATAAGTACTTTATATTTAGGATATAAATCGCCATCTTCCAAAATTTCCACTTACGTACATTGAGTGCTTATAACTCAACAACCAATCATCAAAGCGCTATAGTATAGATAGATATCTATTTATTCATTTCACTACATCGCATGTCAAAAACTCATTTACAGCAAGACGAATTGAAAATTTACATACATACAGAGAAAAATAATCTCTTTTAAATTAGATTCACAACGGACAATTGATTTAAAATATCAAGTACAAAAAGGCACAAAATAAAAACAAAACACATAGAAAAATAAAGAACAAACATTTAGAAAGGTATATAAATCAAAAATCAGACAACATAACACGTGGTATCATAATCATGATTAAATGTTCAATAATTGAGTAAAAGTAATGTGTTTTCAGTAAGTCCTTGATTTTTAGTTTAAATTGACTAAGGTTTTCCAATGGTCAGGTGAAATATTATATAAATCGAAATCAGACGAGGTCTCTAATAAAGTTAGGCAACTTTGGTGGTGGGGTTTTCTTGTATTGTACTCATGGTAGATAGAATGTGTTAAATATCTGTTTATTTTGATGGATGTCTAACATGCTGTAGAAAATAGACATACAAGGAACTGGTATGACAATGAATTCTTAAAAAAGTGGCCTATAGTGTTCATCACTCAATTCCTATATACGCCACTGAACCATGATGATACTGCTATACCTCTGTGAATTTCTGTATTGGTGATGGTGATAGCGGCAATACATCAAACCGTATGTTGAATTTACAAAGCTATAAACATTGACTATGAGATATACACATATGCTAAAGTCAGTCACCAAAGTGCGAGAAACTTATCATACGATTTTTTTGCGTGCTTATACCCTGTTTTCTTCTATTGTGGTATTTTAATGTAGTTTATGTTACGTACTAGGCTTGAAAATTGGTGGCTGGTAAAATGCTAACCCCAAAAAATGTTGAAACTGTGATGGTTATGTACCTATAAAGTTGAGCAGGAATATCGATATCACCAGACCCTGCACTCCAACAGAGAACTCTATATCCAAGATCCATGACTCTTCTGCTCGTCCAGTAAGTATAACAATTACAAGGGTCAGCACGATTTCTGGTATCTTACAAATACCCACAGAGGACGATATTGGATCTATACAGAAGTCCACGCACATTCTGCCCTTCTATAGTTTTTTTCCTGAAATTATTGATCTTAACGTCAAAATACTTACATATTTCATCCTCAAAAAAGGTTCGTGAGTGATAAATCGTCTCTATGTGCGGAAGGACAGAACGCTGGAAATAGTCAAAAACTACATGTTCCAAATTGGCGCTCCTTGAACTTGAAATCACGCTAATTTGAGAAGTACCTGATATCTATATGTCAGTTTTTGCTTTCATTTACGTCAAACTTATGTCACGATATAGGTTACTACACTCTTTTCATACTTTTTTAAGAGCAGAAGATAATACGGCATTAGGAAGAGCCATGTTAAGCTTAAAATGGGTATAACCAGTTCGGTAAACGCAAAATATATAGCAACAGCAAATGGCAGGTGCAAATTCTTAGAGATGTACATTTGCATCCAGATCATCGCAATAACCAGATGTACCAGAGGTTACATGTGGGGAGTTGGAATAGCAGGACTGGTGATATCGTACCTCCTGCTTACCACGGCTGTGGCGGCAACAGCTTTTGAGCCAAGACATGAGTGGGGCATGCTGTTAATTTTATGTATACTATGTCTGGTTGGTATATGCATTTCTATTTAATTTAATAATCTATAGATATTGAGAAAGTGTCTCGACATTATCGCCGCCTTCATTTTCATCATCATCATCATCATCATCATCATCATCATCATCATTATCATGATTATCGTTATGATCAGCATTGATATCATGCTCGAATTCAACTCCTAGCTTCAATGTACAGACAAAGAGTTTCAGCTTATTGTTCTTATCAAACTATGTCTCGGATAAGCAACGAAATCATGCTTCTACCTAAATCGGAAATAAAAGTCATTGGACAGAGTGGATAATATTGAGTCACAGTTAATTTTGAACAGCGTGCCACATGTTGTGTAACAAGATAAAAATGCGCCAAGTGGGCTTCAAGTGTAATGTATGCGGGATACTTTTTCACATACAGAATGATCAAGATATCGAAAATGCAGTGCCGAGTGCATGCTGTCCAACATATGCCAGACATTTTAACAGACTGCAGTATGTTGCAGCTACATGCTCATGTTGCACAATATAGGCTAGGTAGATAAAGTGGAGAGTTATGCTGTTTGTAAGGCCAATTATTAGAAAGCTGTAGTTGTTGATACGATGACAAATTCCTTCTGCTCCTACTGTCACTTATCGAACCTAAGACTACACTCCTTTGTGGACATCGGTCGTCGATGTTAAAATTGTAATACGAGCTCACAGCAATACGTAGGTTTTCAAGTAGTTGTATTGTTTTCTTTAAATTTCTTTACTCTGAAATGATATAGAAGTATTTCATGTAGCACTGAAGAAAAACATTACTTTATTTAAATACTAGTTAAAGTACAGGTATTGTTCCTAGGAAAGCCGTTCCTTTTCAGGCAGATAAAAGACTGACAGTTGGCCTTGCTGGGGCGTAAGTGCTTTGTTAAAACCGCTTTACAGTCAGCAAGATCTTTGCTTGAAAACTCATGCAGGAGCACGATAACCTTGTTTTGTCTACAATAATTGTATCCAATAACTTGCAGTTGCAAGACGGCTCTGTTTCCTCGAATGAAGTGAGCAAGGTTAGCCAACACCAGCGTATCAAATATTCGCTGTTACATTCATAACCTATTGGCCTTTTAGTATACCCTATTTCACGAGTATTCATTATGGCAGAATGACAGCTGATTATTTAGTAATATCTCAAGATTCCCCATATCGGGACAGGACACATAATTCTGACGGATCCGTCAATGTCAGGTTGACAGAGCCAAATGTTGTTTTGCTTTTTGGAACGCTACAGATTCATATTGTAACTGCTAATACCTCTTTTATTTAGAAAAGTTCATTTGCATACAAAATACAACACGCCACAAGTAATGATGATCTCGTGAAACAGGGTATATTAGCGACATCTATGAATCTAGTTAGTTTGTGGAGGAAAGCTCTAGGTTTTCAACGTTAACTGCAGCATTTTGACCTCAGAAGAAACGAACTTATAAGAAGGCGATTTTGGCTGGTTTAATTTTTTTTATTTCCTTTTAATGGTTATTGACAGATTTGATATCGATATAAGACTAAATAACATGTGTTCTTTGAGTATTTTTTATGAGAACATATAATATGTAATATATTGTAAGTACTTATTCTTTCATTTTACTAAAATATTGTTCATAGTTTGAGCAGATATTTTGATCATAACGTTAGCTTCAAGATAAGTGACTTATCTATTATGTTGGCCTTGCATGTACCATATTCTTGTTCCTCACAGAGCCATTCGGAAGAGTTTGATAAAAGTTGAACTCAATAAATAATGATCAAACCTTTAATAAAAAATATGTTATTTAGGTAGTTACGTAATAAAAAACAAAGCGGTACTTAATAATATGTTTGTTATCCAGAATATAAGAGAATAACTCTCTATTTGTTGGCATTATCATACATGGTCCGCACGGGTATTATGTAAAAATCTGATAAAATGACAAAAAAAAACCTATAAAATGCTATCTTGCAGACTAGGTAGTTTGCTCACTAGGATCGTTGTGAGCGTCCATCTATGGAGTAATGACTCAAGTACACCCATTAATGGCTGGATATGTTTGGTGAAGCCGAGTGGTCTATAGTTTTCATCTCTGAGAAGAAAGCTGGTTGAATAGCAAGATCGCATCTGGTTGATTGTGTGTATTGGTCTGCATGTGCATAAAATCAGTGGTATTTGCTGTGTGAGAAAATTATTGCTGAAAATGCGGCCAATGAAGCATATCTATTAGCTGTGCCCGACGGGTTTTTTTATATGTTGTCCTTTCTGAAGACAGGTTCTGTTCAAAGCTATAAATAATGATACTTTCGTTTTTTTTTGTGTTTTCAAGAACTTTGAGGAGAATTGCGGGAAATCACCCCCACGCTCGCGTTGTTTGTAATTACTGTTAGCATGTATATGACTTATAATTTGACTGTGAACAGTGAATATAATTATTTCTTATCTCTCTCATTTTTGAAATTCAGCAAATTTCCATATTTAATTTCCGGAATGGATAAGAAAAACTGCATGGGCAACTAATTTTTAGCTTTGAATCTCAAGTAAGTGAATTTGAGACAAGAATCCAATGAAACTATCATCAACATATATTATTAGCACACAAATCCTCACTATGCGCCTATGCATTGCCGTTACCGCCAGTAATGTCATCTCTGAAGCAGATCACATCAGAGCCAAACATTGATAACTGAAGCCTCATGACGTTTAGGCAACACGTACAACTACAAAGCAAGTTCACAACGTGTCCATCAGCTAGTGCTAAGTTAACATCTTGTAGAAAAATCTACATCATGATACAAAAAAACAATATAATGTCAAAAAAAATCTACATAATGTCGCTTTTCAAGATACGTAATACCCGTGCCGTTCACCCTATGTCAATTGGAAATGTACTTGTACCTGATCAAAACTCATCCGTCATATCTTTCTGAACCTGTTTTAGTTGGGTGGAGTGTGGTCTCTTGCAAAATCCGGCAATGAGATTAAAGAAACAGTTAGTGGAGCGCTCAGTCTACTAGCAGGAGTCGTATATTTTGCTGACAGCTTCATTCGAATAAAACAGTACTGCGCTGAGCTAGCACATCAAAGGTCTATGGGCTATAGCCCTCAATGGTACATATGATATTACAGAAACTAGTGCAATAACGTAATAAAGAAATGTTGTATTGTCATTTGCTTACTGTGCTTAAGAGAAGTTCGTTTATAAATATAAAGTACCTGAATTGGCGTATAAAGATTCCTCATATGAACAATTAAGATGAAGATAGCATTGGTCATCTATTCTCTTTCATTTTAGCAGCATATTGTTTGTCCAAGCTCAGCCAGTTTTATACAGTGTATTTATTTTCAACAGGTTGCCAACGAGTAAAGAAACTTGGAAGCATCCATGCTTATTTTAATGGCTTGTACTTCTAGTTATTCGTCATATCGAAAATTGTCATATGCAATATTGTCTTGGAGGATCTTGAAAAAAGTGGACTTACCATCACTTCTGTAACTGGATAAATCAAGATTGATTGCAACCAATTTATCTCTACCCACAACCAAAATCAAGCAGAACGTTGTTAACGTATGAAGGGAAAACAAATTGATTCCAGCGGCCAATAAACCGCACATTCCTGGGCGCAACCGAGGTATTTGCTTGGGGTAGACGTCAGATATGCGAAGAATTCTGCTCCATCAATACCTGCCCGATTGCCTCTACGTTGCCTTCACTTGGATGTTATGGGAGTTTGTTCCAGAAGTTCACGCTCATATATGTACACAGAAGGCATGTTACAATTCGCCGACTTTTTAAAATTAGACACTGTTTCGCCATGTTAGTATCTGCAAGATATGATTGAAAAACTAGATAAAAACATGGAAGGTCGACTATTTGGTCTACTGATTCGTACAACTTAGGATTGCTGTGCGAATCCGCTTGGCTATAGCGGTAATTATCAAATGTAGTCTATTAAGTAAGATATAATAGAGGTACCTATGCAATGTTTTGTTAGAGACGTGCCTCAGGATATCTGTAATGGTGCGCAGGGCTCTGTTTTGCAGAACCTGCAGATCGCACATATGCGTGTTGGGGCCAAATCGTACAAGCGAAAGTTACTGATGGAAAATTAACCACTTTATGGAGCCAATGAAAGACAATTTTGTATGTCTGCATAATAATGGGATGAAATGCCAAGACATAACTGGTGATTTAGTTTTTAACGCTTCAGTGTGATCTCTCTTCAATCATAAATTTGTACAAACTGCTTAACAGAGCGCCATAATACATGAACTCCATTCGCTTGAAACCTCAGATACGGTGACATGACGAAACGCCTTTAGATAAAATAGATTGTCTGAGTTTTCGGATGGGTAATTTAAGTCAGCCATCAATCGGCCCACTCTGATAAGTACTTTCTCCACCGCATTTTGCGGCCTGTCGTGGACTAGGTTGCCAGACTGTGACTAGGCCGCCAAAGCAGTATCCAGCACGGAGATAAACTTGCTGGATCTAGAAACGTCGTGGATACACCATTAATATAGGATTTTCCCAAGGACCGAACCGTGAGGGGCACCAGCTCTGCTGGACCATGTGTTAAGCATTAGACATTCGATTTATTGACCATATAAGGTACAGTGAACATGTGGCATGTCAGGTTTAGGTAGAAATGCAACACAGGCACCAAGCATGCTTTCAGGTAAAGAATCATGTCAAATAAAATTATACAGTAAAAAAACATTATCAAAAAATTAAGGCTTCATACTTGAAAATTTGTTAGCGCTCCTGAGGAGGCTTCCGCTTTAAATGTGTTGCAGCTTTTAAGTGCCCTAAAGCTGTTAACTAAGATGACAAGGTTGTAGAAAGGATACTTTATGAAGTATGGGGTAGATTGCATACGGATGAGCTTAATTATGACGTTTCGTGTGTTATATTGATGATTTTGTGATTAGTCAGGGAATGGATTGTCATTTCCTTTTTAAAAAGCTACACATCTGAGAATATAAACAGAACAAAGTGTGCTTTTGCTCTACCTGAACATCCATCTGCAAAATTCGGTATTTTTAATTTTGATTCGAGATGTTTTGCCTTCAAGGAAGGATTTAAGTAGTCCTAGAAGCCAAAATGAGCTCTTCCGGCTTAGTTTATACAGACGGTCCGCATGCTACACCTTGCCTGACGCCTTAGAGATGTTCAAAAGCAAGATCCCAGTACTTTCATTAATAGAGAATTCTGTGGATACTCCGGACTATGCTAAGTCCAAATATTCTTAAGGTGGTTACAGTTTCAGCAAACTTGGAATGAGCTGACAGTTTTCGCTAATCCTGAGGGAGTATCGGATCCTGTCTTCTTTGGAATCGTTATAGCCTCTGCGGTCTTTCCCTCCCTTTGAACATGAGTAAACACTTGATAAGTCAACGGCTTCATCGCTTTATTAGCGATTTGATCCTTTCCAGGTGATTACTGTGCCTTGAGGATGTTAGTATGACCTTAAAGCACGGCTGGCAGGCAATGAGGGATTTCAAGAGATCCTATTGGCGTGCTATGCAAACCTTCAGTTAAAAAGGCTTCCGAAGATGAGTCTTCCAAAGTAAAACCACTATCTGCAGCGCCACTTCCACTGACGCTGTTAGAGTTCGGATATCTCTGGACAGATATTATGATGTGTTGCTCCTCGTTGAGCTTATCAAGATCCTCTACGAGGGATGTCTTTTAAGTTTTGCACGTGGAAATAAAACAACGCGGTAGGTACTTTTAAATGACTTTATTGTTTTTCGAAGTATTCTCCACGAAGACTAATACACATCTGCTTGCGCTCGAACCAATTTTCGAAGCACTGGCTGATCCAAAACGGCATTTTTGAATGCGTCAACTGCTTCCTCTGGTGACTGGAACCTTTGATCACGCAGTCTGTTTTTAATTTTCGGGAAAGTAAAGAAATCGTTAGGACTTAGATCGGGACTATATGGAGGATGGGCCAATAATTCCACGTTTTCTTCCGTTAAATATTGCCTTGTTTTTTGGGCTGTGTGCGAGCTTGCATTGTCTTGATGAAGGATGATTCTTCTTTCGGGGTTGATTTTTCGAAGCTCGGTGATGACTTTTGGCAAACAAATGGTGGTATACCAATCCGCAGTAACAGTTCTTTGCTCTTTAAGTGGAATTGTTGCAATATGACCAGCTTTTGACACAAATGTCCCAACCATCTTTTTCGAAACACTTCGAGAACGGATGACTTTTCTTGGCTTTTCTTCACCTTGGAACACCCAAACAGCCGACTGTAGTTTATTTTCTGGTTCATAACAGTAAATCTACGATTCATCATCACTAAAAATGCTGTACACATTTTTTGTTTCCGGAATTGAAACGGTCAAGCGGTTTTTTACACCAATTAACCCTGGCTGCTTTCTGCTCTTCAGTCTACAGGTGAAACGAGAAACTAATTTTCTTACTCCTAATTCTTCATGTAAAATTTTTTGAACTGAGGTCTTTGAGATCTTCAAGGACGCCTCAATCTCACATGTCTATCTTCAGTTTGCGCACATCATCGACGTGTTCCTGGGTGACTGCCGATTTTGGTGCACCCACCCTGGGATCGTCGCTAAGACTCACCCGTCCACGTTTTAATTCCCCATATCAACGGGAAATTGTCGACTGATGTGGCGCCTCGTTGCGAAAGCAGACAGTAACTCAGCAAGGCATTCTTGTTGCGATAATTGTCTCTGAAAGTTGTAATAAATTATGGCATGAAAATGTTCTCGGTTGAGTTCCATTTTTCTAATTACTTGGTGATACTTAAAAGTTCACTGTAGTGAGAACACTGCACGTATGGTTGTGAAACTTTGAATTTAAGTTTACTAAAGAGTGAGGTTAAGATTCAGTACTGACGTACGATCCGCGCGGTCTACTATGTTTCTATATGCAAAACTTAAAAGACATCCCTCGTTTCCTGAGGACTATGCCCTTAGGCCATGGATTATTATCGCTTTTTCCTTATAAGCGACTCTGCCACTTCCCAGAGACGTATACTTAAATCAAGCATTCCCGATAGAACGTCGTTCCATTTTTCATTGCGAAGTAAGATGACAGAATGTAAACTGGTCCAATCCTGGATGAAGTATTTAAAACAGGATAAAATGCATGTCCAACATTTTAAAATACTTTAATTATTAATGTCCTGGGTAGGTATCATACCACTTGTGGCAGCTAGAGCATCGTGTTCAAAATAATATGGCACAAACAATATAACAAAGTCCATGAAATATATAAAAGCACCAAAGACGGATAACATTCCCGCTATGAAGAAGCTCTGGTCCTCGTGATCTTGGTAACTAACTGCAACGGCTACGCCCATGACCAAGAATCCTACCGATGGTATTGGCAACAGGACCCACGATAATGCCAGACTTCCTTCTAACCACTTTTTTAGGAAGAGTCTCAGTAAGAGTAGCAAGAAGGAAAGACTGGCGCTTCCTACAGCTATACCAAAGAGTGAGAGAAGCCTCCATTCTTCAGGTATTTCATTAATCAGCAACGCTATTCCTATGCATATACCTACCTCGAGTGATTTACAAATGGTGTCAGGTCCCGGGAGGTACTTGCTGATAAAGCGACTTCGCCTGCGGCGTCGGTGGCGCCGTGGCATTGTAAATAGATAGTATAATTCTAGTTCTGCTAGATCTTCCAGATTCATTATAGGTTGACATTTGTTTGACATGGATCATATCAAGATGGAACAGAACAATCTGATACATAAGTATAGGGCATGAGCTCAAGATCGTTTTGGAACACCCTACTTGGTTTGCCTCACACAAGTAACAACATAGGAAGTATCTTCGCATCGTTGACTTTAGTCAGCCACCGCTCTACCCACCCTAATACTTCCTTCTACGCATATTGTAGCCCGTCGCCGACTAGGTCGCCAGACTATGACTAGGCCACCAATGCGGTATCATCAGCACAAAGATAGACTTCACTGCTGCTAGGAATAGGAACGTCGTGGATGCACCATCAGTAGAGGATTTTCCCAAGGATCTAAACCTGAGGGGCATCGGCTCTGGTGTAGCATGTTGTAGGCACAACACAGGAAGTATCTTCGTAACTGCTCGAAAAATATGCCGATTCGGTTTTTTGCATAATCTTATTCGAAAAGTACCCATTCTGATAAAGCTGCATGTTGCAATGCCCAAAATTGCGTACACATTCTTTAAACAACTTCAAGAATTTTTCGCGCCGAAAGAAGTTCTTAGGTACTTAGATCACCCTCAACAACAATTGTTCTTATGAATCTTTATATTCTTTCTATAAGGTTGTTAGTATCAGAGACACAGGCGATTTCATATTTGAAAATTTACAAGATATGCCACTATCGACCCCAAAAAACAATAAGAAAAAGGCGAATATTTTGATGTTGCCGATGTTCCTGGATATACATACGACGGTTGTCAAGGAAAGTGACACAAATCGAATTACACCAATTATTTTGATTGTTTTGTATTTTACGAGTAGATATGACTACCTTATTCTTCATGGTAAGTTCTGATGAAATTTGATTTGAAGTGCTAAAAAAACAACATATTTGCAAATTCGTGATAAGCATGAGAGTCACAATGCCATCTCTTTAACAACTTTTTTATTAATAAAACGTAAATTTGGTAAACAACCTGTATTTATTTCCTTTCCAACAAATGCAAATAAAACATTCTCTATTAAAAAAAATACACGGAAACATGAAACAAAACTTATGTACAGAGTGATACAGTCACTTTAAATTGAGGCTGAGAATTAAAAAATAATAAGCACCATTGCGAAATGTAGGAACATTATAAAAATAAACAATAATGCCGAGAATATCACTAAAAGTACCTTTTACAAGTTACTATAATACTGAAAGTAAGTAATCGGAATCACAGAACGGTTATTTCGTTGGTTGAACCAACTTAAAATACTACATTTCTTTTTTTCAGTAATCCCTGGTTTAACTCGATATAGATTTTTGATTACCAACATGTCATCGCTTTCTATATTTCGTCTTCTGCAGTATCTAGAAAGCCCTATATCAATGGTTTGGTATTCATCAGCATAAGATGTTTTATAAAGTATTTTATTAGGGTTATTCTTATCCGCTTTTACTACTTTAATGTATGTTATCTTGATACTTTCGTTTCTATCATCTTTTGTGAAGCTTCTTGCTGCCGTAGAAGCAAAATCTTTTAAATCAAGGAAGTCTTCATGATTCAGCTCATGCTCATGCTACCTGATACTTTGAACGTTCGTACTATTGTTACATACTGGGCTGGAATAAATATGGGACCTGACTTTAACGAACGCTTGACATGTCGTCCAATCACGGAATGGGCACTGTCGCCTTCATTCTGGGTATGTTCTTTGATGAGGAACTTATGCGTTATTGGTGGTAAATTTTAAACATAACATGGTTTTTCTGCTGTCCACAGCAATTATTAGAGTAAAAGAGATTCAATGTAATTTAATACGCATGTACCTATTTCGCAGACACCTCTATTTCCTTTAGACTTATCCCACATGTAGCAGTGGACATCCTTTGTTTTCAATTCGTAAATTGCAAAATTAAATACATTCAATTTTGAAGTGTAGTAAAAAGTTGATGTCTCTCCTCTAGGACACTGAAGTACAGCCTGCAGATCATAAACTGCAACGATTACGTTGCTTTTACTATTTTCTTTATCTTCTTTTTTATCTTAGCGTGATAGGTCTTTTTCAGCGATGTGACTCTCATAATCTCTAACTATATTTTGTCTGTCTTCACCAGATGCCATTCGGAATGCAACACAATCCGTCACTGGACGTAGTCTCTGTGTAGCTGAGCCACTGTTTTGCCCCCTTCAATGCATTGTCTATTCGAATCTTTCCTGCAATAGTGACTTTCTATACGGGGTATCGAATTTATGTGGTTTCTAATCCCAGTTTTAATAGCATCATCGACCCGATGGTGATTACCGTGTTTCCCCCTCTGTTCACCCAACAGTATCCCTTTGCTGAAGCTTCTTTGTTTTTCCAACACAGCTCTTATCGGTAATACCTAAAGTTGCTCTGAAGAAATGTTTACATATTCTTATTTTAGTTAAATAATAAAAAAGTAGAACGCATTATTGCTAGCACGCCTACTATTTTCTTTTTTATACTGATATCTGGATGTTACAGATTCCATATATTTTGCCAAGTAATCTCGTTGCCGCTGCAAATCTCCTAGACTCCAATAATCAGAGAATATTAGTTTTTTTTCCTCACTGGAGATTTTCTCGTTGCATTTCAATCGGCAATTTTGGCAGGGAGGTCCTATTTCTCTGGACTAGATGAACCTTTTGCTTGATGATGATGTGTATTCGAGTCCTCTATTTCGTTGCCGTTTTGCAATGTTCTTTTGTCAAGCATCTACATCCATTTTTCTTCTTCCGGGCTTCTTTGCTTTGGGCTCTCCGAAATTTGATAACTCGGGGGAAGAAGATTCTGCCGATTCAGACAAAACGTAGTCTGGGTCTGCATCGGAGTCATCACAGGGTGATTCAATATCGTCGAACTCCACTTCTATATTTTGAGCTTCTCGTATGTTTGAAAATGTGTCTCTGGACTGGTGATCAGTATGATGTATCTCTTCGCCCTTTTCTGTGCCTAGAGAATCAAGCAGGCCATTTTCGAGATCAATCAGTTGATCGTTTATTTTTGATGGGCTAGCTGTCAAGAATGAATCTACAATCTCTGTAGCATCTCTGAAATGCGGTAACGCATTTTCTCCCTCACAAGTTAGATCCGTTGGAGGTAGTAAATTAGGTGCTGCGTGGTTTTTGCCAGATCCTAAAAGAGAAAAAAGAATCAATAGTAGCTCAAGTAGCTTCCATTTTTTCAAACATTTGTAGAAGTCAACGGCCAATATTTTCGTAAAATATCTCACTGGACCTATAGCAATCGTTTATAAAAATATTGCAGCATATGGCAGGTTGCCATAATTACATTAAAATATTTCTCCAAAATATTACTCGTGTAGATTCTCCATAAGAGCATCTACAGGTTGAATTAAGTACTCCTACATTTGACTTCAAACATCACTTAACCGACTTACCAGTTTCTGATGATTGTCCATATATTCCCACATTTTCAAGATCACTGAGTCCATTTTCTGCAGACAATTGCATTAACAGCCTTGTTTGTTGAGTTAGTGGAGCTTTGGTATTCAAATCCATTACTTTCTGGAAATAAATCTAATAAGATTCTCAGAACGACAAAAACATTGTTAAAAGGTACATGGTTGACCTAAAACAAAATCATCATGTTTATTTAAAATCGCATATTAAAGTGTTGAAAAAAAGTGACATATTTTTCGAGGTATGATTTGTACAGAGTAAAGTTATGAAGAACACCGTCATAACTCAAAATTAGGATGAAACTGGTAAAGTATTGTCAAAAAATAATCACTATATATTAGAAAGGACGACATAACAGAAGACTCAAGACATACACGATAAGACTCAACTCAGTATGCTACCTACCTTATTATCAAAATCGTCATAAAACAAAATGTGTCACTTTCCTTGATAACAGCGTTCAGATCACATAGCCGAAAAGCACACTGAAGCGTTAAAAACTAAATTTCAAAACTCGTTTCGGCAACTCTACCCTATGCTATGTAGAACATCAAAATTAAGTGTGATCAACAAAGTTCGACTATACAAGATGGTTATTAGACCAGCGATTACTTACGCAAGTGCGGCTTGGTGTTTTCTCGCCAAAACGCATTTGCGTAGCCTGCAGGTTTTGCAGAACAGAACCTTGCGTGCAATCACTAACGCCCCATGGTATGTTTCCAACGAGACCCTTCATAGAGACCTTGACATCCCTTACCTAAGGGACTACATCAAACAACAAGCGCAGCTACGTTACAGTCAAGCAGAATCGCATAACAATCCTTTGTTGCACGAGTCAGTAGACTACACAGTCTAGCAAGTTCGCAAGCACACAAGGCCGCGACTCGCACTGTGAACAAAATTAAATCGTGCGACTTTAGGTCCAACCAAAATTATAATTTTTCTTCAACAACCAATCCCAAAATTAATTTTAGGATCAATTTAAAATTGCCGAATACTAACTAGCAATGCCAAGGCACCCCTCAAATTGATGCACTTCTTTCTTTGCTCTCCCTCCTTCCTTCCTTCCTTTCTTCTTCCCTTCTTTCTCCCTGACTTTGTTTGGTATCTGGGCAACCAGACCTGACAGACCTACTGAATTACAAGACTTCAACCAAGAGCAAAGGTCCTACGGACCACTCTGACAGACAATGACGAATAGTGACATAGCCGAAGTCAAAATGTGTAATTTTTCTTGATAACGCACTACCACACTGCGAGACGTGCTGGGCACAACTGAGGTTATGGCCAGTTATGATACTTTTCTTGAGACGCGCAGGTAAATAGTTACTGAAACGAAAAGTGACACTCCTGCTATCTACCGGCCGTTTTTCAAACTACAGTAGTGACGGTTCGTGTGATGAAAATATACGCTTTTGGCCATTCATGCATATATCTCAAAAAACGTGATTTTTGAGTAGTGTCACTTTTCTCGACAACCGACGATATACAAACACAAATATCGCTGACGAGGAAATGTGCATGTGAGAGAAGTGCGAGAACCGTGCAACACGAATTTTAGAAAGAGAGCGCCGATGGCAATGCGGATAGCCACAGCTGCGTCCAAGGCCTCGTCACTTGGGTTGCTAGGCAACGTGATGCTTCTGCTTCCTAACATACGCTTCTTGCGATTCTCTCTCGCACACACTACGACGTCCGTGGTACCTACCTTAGCTTAGCGCATGCTTGATTAACAATTAAAAAACAATGATTTACAATAACACTACCCCCTAAAATACTTGAAGATTTTGTCAATGGATGTTTGGCGAACATCTTGTTACTATAGCAGTATTATAATTTTCGTTCTTTCAAATTTGATTTCGTGATCGATTGTGGCACATTTTGCGCTTCCTCAAATATTGAGTTACTCGGAAAATCACCCATAGAGAAAAGTTCATTATACTCGTATTTAGAATGACCTAATAAACTACTGGAAAAATAAACTTTTGAAATTTGCTGAGAAGGTTGTTTGAACAAGAATCATTCGCGTACTGATTGAAACCTTAGTTGTGTGAGGCAAGCCTAAAAGAGTGCTCGACCTCTCAACACATTTTAGTCTTCGATTTTAACCTAAATCTTTGACAACGATGTCAGAAAATGAGTCCAAAAAATCCTCTTTCTATCATGCCAAGAAGACGCCATAGACGTCAACGAAATTACATTCCCGAACCTGACACTGTTTGCAAAGTGTTCGAGATTGGCATCTGCATAGCAATAGTCGTATTGATGGGAAGGCTACACGAAGAATGGCTTCTTGCTGTGCTCTTCATCACAGCTGCATTGTCGACAGTAGCGTCCTTCGTTCACCTGTTGTTGAACATATTCCTTCGAGAGAAACTGAAAGGCATTCTAGAGTTATCCTGGGCATTGCTGCCAATACCAGCTGCAGCGCTACTCATAAGCGGAACCGCTGTGGCAGTTGTGTTTCATGAGGATCCGAATCAATCATTTTTTGTTGCCTCTCTTTTAGCAGTCCTATGTGCATTTTTATATGTTGTAGACTTCATTTTGCTGTTTGTACCATACTATTTCGTGCATCAAACTGTACAAGCCACTTCTTCTGTCTCGCTTACTAGGTGAAAGAAATAAACAATCAAATTTTCATAGTACTATGAATTGTGTTAGCAGAGGTTTCATTTATTGCCAGGATCGACCAATGCGAAGTGAATGACATATATCGGTTAGAACTGTAAAGGTACCTTAGATGGCTTTTACATTCAAGCATTTTTTCGCAAGACATGACTTGCCAGACCAAGGCTGTGTTGCAAGGCTCTTGAGCTCGTGCAAAAGCTGCTTGCCCAAAATATTGGCGTCTGACAATTTCTAAATTGAATTTGTTAAATGCTTCCAAAGAATTAAGATTTAAAATAAAGGAGATCATTAAGGCAGTTTCTTGCAGGTATTAAAATAAATAAATATTTTTTCTTCCGAAAATATATGTTTCACATCAAGTTTTCGGACACATTCATGCAAATTAGATCAAAGCTACCCAATTCTTATGTTACCATCGTAGACACAAATTTACATGCTAAAATTTTGATGGTTAACTTTTGAAATATTCTATGAGAATACTTTGAAGCTTCCGCGGCATGTAAATATCCTTTTTCCCTCAGACACAGACAAAAACTAATTTTAAAGAAATATTTATTTTTCATCATACTCGTAATCAGAAATTCTGTTTTTAACTGCGAGTTTCGCAGCAACTGAATATTTTGAACATTTGAATCTTTTAAGTTATCCTCCATCATTTGACCGTATACTTCAAAATTAAATTTTCTAAGAAATGAAAAATATTTTAATAATAGGTATTGGAAGAAGATAAAAGCAAATGTCACAATTACAGCGGAATTGCACTAATGAATATTGTCTATAAAATATTAACATCGCGCATGAAGAATCTACTGACAGATAGTATGGAAAGCATCGCAGGGGAGTATAAGACCGGATTTGGATGCGGAAGAAGCACAATAGATCAAATCTTCGTACTACGAGAAATACAGGCAGAAAGCTACGAGCACTTGAAGCCGACGCATTATTCGTTGACTTCAAACAGGCATACGCTAAGGTTAATCGGAATAAAATGATCGACGCTTAAAGATTAATGGGAATCGAAGAAAAACTTATTAGACTGATAACGATATTAATGAATTACTTGTTCGAATTCTATTTTTTGCTCATACAGGGTGGTCAAAAACGTGAATTGTACTTTTTCTCAAAAGTTTCAAATGCGTCACCCTGTATATTTGTTCAAGTTTGGATTCAATTTTCTATCAGCTTTTTTTTGTTTATGAGGTTTAATGCAGGTAAAATTACTAGATTTTCAGTTATTAAGCTTTTAATAGAACAACACACCAAAATTAAGGAAAAAAATCACATCATTCATGGAAACAAAAGACAAAAAGTGGGCTGGTGCCATATTGCCACTAAGGGTAGAGATTTAAGGTAAAAACTAATAGCAATCAGAACAGTATAAATCAGCTACAAGCGTAATAGAGAAAAACAACTGCAACGACAACATAAACAAACATCTACCACTACTCAAGACCTAATCTACAAAAACTGCTCGAAGATATCTCCACCATGTTGAATACACAGCTGTAGTCTTTGGATAAATGACCGTTGCACATCCCTCAACATGTGGGCCCTTATGTTCAGAAAAGCATCCTTAATCCTTTCCTTTATATTTTCCGGGGTAGATGGTGGATATCTATAAACCTCTTGCTTAACGTAGTCCCCTAGAAACAAGTCCACCGGTGTCATATCTGGTGATCCAGGAGGCCAAGATATAGGCCCATCACGACCGATCCAACGGTTGTTACTCTAGGTGTCCAAATATACTAAGTGACATATAAATCCGAACACCCAGTTTAAATGGTTTTATTTTAATAAAATTTTGTATAAGTACTTAATGAAGCACAATAAGTAAATGATAAAAATTTCAAAATGATTGCACTGCTTTAAAGCCCTTTGACCTTTAATAATGTGTGGATACACCCTGATGTGCTACGCATTCTCCAACGCGCCTAGGCATGCTTCTGATCAGGTGGTCAATGTCCTCCTGTGGTATCTCATTCCAGGCAACCACCAACTCCTCTCGAAGTGCTTCTAGAGTCTGAGGAGGACGTTGCAAATTGAGCAATCTCCTACCCATCATATCCCACACGTGTTCAATTGGGGATAAGTCGGGAGATCTTGGTGGCCATGGTAACAATGTGACATCATTATGTTGAAAGAAGTCTATTGTGACTCTTGCAACATGTGGTCGGGCATTATCTTGTTGCAAAGTTGGATCTGCCAGGGTGTCAAGATAGGGTAAAAGATGGGGTTCTAGAACTTCGCGGATATAACGCTGCGCGTTCATGTTACCTCTGATGAAGATTAAAGGTGACCTGGAACCATAAGCTATAGCACCCCAAACCATAACTCCAACAGTGTGATGAACATGTCTTTCAACAAATAACTGTGGATTCCTCCTTTCACCACGTCTCCTTCTAACCCTGGCACGACCATCGTGCATGCCTAAACAAAATCGAGACTCGTCACTAAAGACAATACTGTTCCATTCCTGATCCCAGAGTGACCGTTGTCTGCACCACTCAAGGCCATTACGTCGGTGTTCTCGAGTTAAAGGGAGGACCCAGTGTGGCCGGTATGAAAACAAGCCAAAACTTCTCATTCGTCGGTAAACACTTCGCATGCCAATAGGTCTTCCGTGTTCTGAAAACCATTCATTTGCAATGGACCTGGTAGTGGAGAAACGGTCCCTTAAGGCCAATAATCTTAGGCGGCGATCTTCACGGTCTGTTGTTGTACGGCGGCGTCCAGTGCCCGCTGCTCTTTGCTTACGGCCTCCTCGAAGCCATGCTTGACAACACCTAACCACAGTGTCTACACTTCTTTGCACTCTAA